GGGGGGGGGGGGGGGGGGGGGGGGGGGGGGGGGGGGGGGGGGGGGGGGGGGGGGGGGGGGGGGGGGGGGGGGGTGCTCAAGCAAATACGGCGGAGGTTTGTGGTCACTGGCTGAGCGGAGGAGAGGACGGTGTTCGGCGGCAGGGGTGGGCGTATATTCATCCACAGGATGCCTTTTTTACGCCTAGGGGTCACAGCGCGTTGAGTGTATTTTAGAACACTGCTGTCGATTCCTTTTTCAGAATATCGCTCTTTAGTAAATAGGTCTGGTCTTATTTTGTGTCACCTTTTGAGAGGGCGAGGCCAATTGCCGTGTTGCAGCGATAGCAGTATCTGTCGCATGTGTTTTCTGTTGGTGCTGGAAGAGATACGAAGGAGGAACACTGCTGTTTGGAAAAGACTCTAACGGCGGTATTCGGACAAATTGCGTTTCGGTGCCCAGCTGTGTGGCGTACGCACCGATGTCATAAAGGTCACAAGGACAGAAGAACTTGGTCAACTCGATTGCATTCATGTTTCGACTTCGATTGCAATCGTGTTTGGGAGTCGGTGGCATTTATTTTGTTTTCTGGGAGGAGGGGGTGTTTCCGAAACGTCGCAAAGCGCGTGAGTTGGGGTTGTTTTCATTCTCAAGCTAGATGGGCCAGAGAACGACCATCACCAAATCGTGCTTATATACTGGGGTAAGATGCAGACAGGGAGTTAGGACGGGTGTTCGGTGCCATAACCCACATGTTCGTAGGTACGCTTTTGGTACTCTTGCCCTCTTTGCGCGTCTTGGTAGCTGTGCCAGGCAGCAGTGGAAAGGCGTAGGGTAAGACCCGCCAAGTGAGCCTCATCACGGTAATTTGTGTGAATGTCACTCTTTTGAGTAAGGGAGCATGGTACCTATAGTTTTGCATGAGGGAGAGGGAGGCAGCGCAGACCCGGGGGGTGCTACTCGGCAATACGCAGGGCGTAGGCCCCTGCCATTTAAAGCACATTGCCACAGCACTAGTTTTTTTGTGTGAACACGTCCATGTGAGAAAGTGCGCGTGTCCGTTTGACACGCGAGGAAAGGACGGGAGGTGGGGGGGGATCCGGCATGCCGCTATGGATACTGTTCGCTGCTATCAAGGCTCGAATGACTGGCCAACCGGTCTCACTTGGCATCCGCAATAACATCGTATCTGCTTTTCGTTACTGCGGTAAATGGAGTATTCGTGGCCTAGTGGTGAGGGGCGAGGAGAGGGCATCTTGGTCGTGGTGGACAACGCCGTACAACGTAAAACAAGGGAGAGATTTGGGACAATGATGCATGCTTACTGGTGTGCGCAGTGCGATTTTTTTTTTTTTTGAGGAGTCGAAGGAATCCTGGAGCCTTGGGGTATCTATATCATGCACCGTCCGTCAATTACAATATTGGTGTTAGACGATACAAGGTACAGGGCAAGATGAGCATGTATGCACACTTCACGCAGCTGTGTCGCGAACCGTGTAGCCTGATGGGTTAAAGAGTAACGTGTATTTGGAATGTGCTCTCTGGGCTTGGAGCCCGGGGTTTTTCCGACCGTTGACCCCCTGCGCGACTTTCGCCAAGGCAACATTTCTTTAATGGGGCAGCAGTTGTTTTCGTCACGATTCTTCGTGTGTGTCTTCCTGTATCTTTGTTCTGATTTTGCTGTTTGGTTGAATGCGTGTATCTGGGGTCTTGCTGGTTGCAGGCTACACTGTCTTGTTCGGCAACACTGTAATATACTTCGAAGTATCAACGAATTCAATTTGTCTTACGAGCGTTTGATATATAAGCTTTGTTTCGACGCGATTCCGTCCGTACGCGCCCCAAACCCTCCAAATCCAGTCCAAGGAACCTTTGTTCACACAGACGCACTTCGGATGATGAGTTCACCAACTTGTCCCATAAGGACTGGTGAATTCTACGCCCACACCAATGAGTGGCGATCCTTCATCGTGTCGACGACCTCCTTCCAGACCTCCTCGACGTATGCATAGAATCCCCACATACGTTGTTATACCAAAACCCTACGTTGATAGTACCCGTACTTCAAAACCCGGCAGTAAAGAACTTAGACTCATGCTCAAGTCATGACTACGGAATATCAATGCCCAAATCATGACTACGGAACATAAGCGCCATCTGTGAGTCCCGATAAGAAGCCCTAGGCAAAAACCTATATTGCGGTCATTTGTAGCCCACAGACGGAACGAAGCGCCCCAGTCTCGTCCATAACGAGAGCTTCTAATCGAGTACCCTCTCTCTGTACTGGAGCAACCAAGAACTTTTCTGGAAAAAACAAGTATAGATGGCTGTCCAGTGTCTTCTTTGATCAATTTTCGCCCCCTCGCCTAGCCTAGAACATTATTTTCGGTTGCTGCGGGGAGGGCTGCTAACGTTACTCTTCGTGATTTTCTCGACAACGCCCAGTCCCTCCACGTATTCGCATCGCCCGGCAAGCAGCTCGTTCCTGAAGCCCTCTAGGAAGAGCGAGAAAGTCGTCGCCACTGTCCCACCCTCACCGTCTGCTGCATCCCACTCTACCACCGGACAACCTCTTGCTTGAGTGTCCGTAACCTGTTCACAGGTACCGGCGAACGTACGTGCACACATGCAAAGGTCACAGTTGTTATTTAGTACACGTGCACCTCACCCTTGTTCTCGAGCAATACACAATGTCGACCACGGAGGATGGGTATTGATACTCGAAGACGACCATCTTTCTCTGTATGTTGTGCGTACACGTGAGGTGACTTCGACCTTTTTCTTTCTTTCCTGGATAACACAGAGAAAGCGGGAGGAGGGTACCCTACAGGATCCACGTTCCCGAAATGTTGAAGGTTTCGGAAGATGAATCCTCACCCACCAAATACGTATTAATAGTAGGCAGAAAGTTGTGGGTCAGCTGCCACGCACTCTGCTGGCATCATATGTCAACGCTCAGAGGTTCACTGAGAGCATTTAATGCTGAAAACACATGTTTTCGCCGAAGGTGACCAGTCGCTGGACCAAGCGGCGAAGTGCGGGCGAAGTTGAAACCTTGTTCGTCTTTTCAAGAAAATGAAGGAACATTTCGCACCACAGTACGGCACGGTACTGTACACTACAAAGAGTGGTCAGACGGTAGATCGATTGGCTGACAACAAGCAGTCACTCAATACATCGTTCGTGACTTACCAAAAAGTTGTCGTCGACATCCTTGGCGAAGGGTATCAGCCCTGCTCTCCAACCGGGCACCCGTCCTTCCATCTTGAAAGCCGCCGCTACCATCGCCTATCGCGTATACAAACACACACCCGATCAGGTGTGTTTGTACCGGTAGCATCTCAAACGTTCGTTGGTTGTTCGGCCAGGATATCTACTACTTCTATATAATTGCTCTGGTTGCGGCACGGGACTTTCACACGGTACACACGTAGTAGGGATACACACCGCACGCACCCCGGCGTACACACTACACCACCACCGGACAACCACACCTTGCAGGTAAGTGCTTGCTTCTCGGAGAACCAGAGTTGCCCGTCCTGGATTGTCATGATTGATCGCAGCTCCTGCGTTTGTAGCAAACTCAGAGGGGTGAGAACCAACATTTGATGATCAAGCACACAAAGAGCAAGGACCCGCATACGGTACAGACGGCATCGATGCAGCGACCCAAAGGGTGAACTTCGGGCTGGTTTCGGCCCGGTGTTCCTGTATCGCAGTGTCAACGGATCCAAGCACCCCCACGGCGGGTGCTGAACCTACAGTAGAACTCACTATTATTGATTTCTCCACAACAGCATAGCCTGCAGAACGCCAACTACTCTTGTTCTCATTTTACGACATGCATTCTCATTAGTGAAATATGGACAATAGGTTGCCGTTGGGCTTCGTGCAGAATCGCATGGCAACGGTTCCGGCTTTGCAGAGCCTCGAAATCTGGAAGACGAGGCTCAGACAGGTATCAAGAAGAGAAAGTCAAGGTCCCTCCTTAACATTCTGCTCTCTCCACCGACCTCCGGAATTGTGGTGTCCGTGGCCTTCTCCAGCGCCTGAATGTCTGGTAGGTGTTTGGACGAGCAGCGTACGTACGCAAACAACAGGGAAGCTCAGACACCTCGCTAAGGGTTTCCTTGATTCTATCGGTGGAGCAACCGAGAGATATCCCCACCTCTAAATCTCTGGGAAACTGCTGATGTCTGTCTAGAACTCAAGACACGACAGTAGCTGAAAATTCACATCAACCCCACGATGTCGTCGCCGACCAGGTGCATCGCGAGATCGCGAGTGAGTACGGCTTTCGGCAGGGGAACTTTTGTTTTTCAGATGCTGCTCACTATCGCTTGAGAGTAAATGCACTAACGGGCGTCTCCCCACACCAACACCACCACCACCACCACCCCACGGGCAATCTCCTTCCAGCACCCTTTGTGTGCCAACCTGCTGCCGTAGAGAGAACGGTCCAGCTTTACTCTCGAGAAAACAATGTACGTGTAGCACTAACAGGATCGCCCCATTGTAAAGACAACCACCCATAGCCGCACTTCACCTGCATCCTGTGCCCCTTCCGCGTTGTCTAGACAGCCGCGTGCGTGCTTCTTGAACCAGGATTCCACGTCTGAGAGAGAGTACCACCATGCAAGGTGGAACAACGGAACCGTGGTCGCATCACGTCCCGAAAACTATGTTTCCGGACTGCGAACTTTGCGCCTATCGAAGACAAGCAATGTAGACTATGCATAGCGACTTGATTCCTACAATGATATCTGGGATGCAAGCAGACTACATGCTACCGTAAAGTATATTGGAGTCTTTAACCAGCGCACACGTCGCAGCCACACCTTGATTGTACGGATCTCGCAAACATGCAATATACCATGCGACACACCGCTGTATTTTGTCCGGCGGTGGATCTGTTGTCGTTTGCCTACCGGACATAGTCTACATAGCAGTATGCGCCTCTACAAATCAGGACCGCGGCCGCGCCATAATCTGTTCTTTGACTTTCGCGAACATGTTTCAATATCTCACCAAGGACGCTCTGGTCTACATATCCCAGCAAAGGTCAAGAAACTGTTTCGAGGTATTCTCCCCTCCGCAACGTGGCATGAGAGTAACATGAGTCATATACCCCGACAGCAGCAGCGGGCGATCTTCTCCACGATATCGCGAAGGAACATCTGCAATTTACAGCAGTAGTTTAGTCATCTCACCTAGGACGCTCTGGTTTATCTCATCATAGGTCATGCCCCCCTTCCGGGGGTTCCCTTCCTCCGCGACATGGGTCATGACGGCATGCGACCACTACGGTTTGTATAGAGAAAGATAAAGCATGGGCCTGTGTGTAGCTGCAGCGAGCCCGTGGTTGCTGCCGAGTCGTCTCTCCGGAGATTGAAACTGCCAGGTTTGATAGGAGGCATTTTTTGGGGGGGAGGTCCGTGGTTTGTTCACAGGCAGCGGGGTACCTCCAAATGGTCAACCCTCCGCCTCTGTGCTGGAGAACACACAACAAGCACAGCGGAGAGAGCGGAAGCCAGCGAAACTGGGAGAGAGAGGAGTGCTCCCAGGAATGCTCACAGAGTATCCGGCTGTGTGCTAAACGATGCCGCCGTCTGCGGGTGTCAGCTCTTCCCGTCAGATCGGAAGCAAGACGGCCGAGAATAGTAGTCGCTCGACAAGGAAGAAGGACCGCGCCAAGAGAGAGGTGTGTAAATGTTTCAATGTTTCGACTCCTCCCCCGCCCAGCGGGATAGGGCGGCGGCTGTTCAGTGTTTACGTAGGGTAGTTAATCCTCCGAGTACGCAGAAGGTGCCATGTCGGCAGGGTGCACGTAGCCAAGCTTGCAAAAAAGAGCGGGATATACGGTGTGCTTGCCACTGCTGCTGTTGCTTGGAGTTCGTCAGCAGCACAAGTAGCTTACAAGTGTAGTCAATCGCTCCCTCCAACGTGCGGACATTCTCTCGTCTGCTACTGCTGGAATATCCTGTAGATCGCCGATGTTCGTTCGCATGGTTGCGTGTGTTCTGTTTTGGAGAAAGCAAACATGTCTGTCTGCCGCGTTCCCCTCATCAATCAAGCTTACCTTGCATCTGCATCCGATAAGCCACCCTAAATGTACTCCTACTGTGTCATGTATTTATGTAGACTAGTCTTGCTCGGATGGTTTAGTAGGTCTACACTAGTACGAAGACAGCAGTACTTTACCAAAGGATTATTGTATTATATAGTCCATGTACGCAGCTGTGTTCGTGAAGAATGTACACTTACCTATGAGGTGTATGTAGTCTGCATTTGTGCATTTGCATCGCCTAGCTTGCTCGAGTAGACTACAGCAGTTATCTGTTTCCTTCGAATGCGAAAAGATCCCCCCATGATGTTCTGTTCCGTTCGAGCCATGGCACGAAGCTGGTTCACCACTACGCCGCGTAGTTGCTGAGTTGTTTAGAGTGTCGTATGATACAAGTAAGGACAATGGTTCGATGTACCATACTCCGATGGTTCCATGTATAACCCGTGAGTGTGTACGATGATCTGATCACTGAATCAATGTACCGAAGGCTACTACGATTGGGTGGTCAACAGCAGTACAGTTCTCATGACAGACATCGAATTTGCCAACAAGTGAACTGGTGTGTTCTCCCTATAGAACGCATGGGAGCATCGACCAGTTAATGTTTGCTAGCGAAGCAACGCGCTTGGTTGGACTCGCACTCCGAACACCAGGTTGTAGTCTACAGAGGACCACTGCCACGTGGGACTTTCAGACCGAGACAAAGTACTTTCACGCTGTAGGTTGGTCTGTGGACAACCGATACTACCGCTGCCGTCCCCGACGCTCGGAACTCAGCTTCGTGCAAAAAAAAAAGGCGCGTTCTCTGCATCCATTCTCCGACGAACAAACCCACGGTTGGTCAGCCTTTTCGCCTACACAGGAAGCGCACGCCTTACGAACCAATCTCCGATGCCTCTGCTCGACCTTGCTCCAACGGCTCTCGCCCGGTCCGCGTTCACCCGTAGCACGCTGCGCCTGGTAACGCCATCGGGCGCCACGTACTCCCCTTAAACCAATTCCAAATACCAACGAACGACGGCTTCTGTACCGTACACGACTCTCGACGCCTCTGTCGCTTCAACAGGCGGTGGACTTGCTGGTGCAGGAGCTCTGCACGGGACCGGCCGCAGATGTCACGACCGTCATCAGGACGGCGCTGGAGCGAGGGTACCGGGCGGACCTTCAGGTGCGAAACAGCGCAAGATGTATTTACGGCTGCGAGGTTCCAAAGAAAACCTGAAAACTCAGACAGGAACGCTGGGGGATTCGAAAGGGATCGGCGTATTGGCGCGCATGCACGCTAGAGCAGCACAGCAGTGCTCCAGCATCCTCGAAGCCTCTCTTCACTCTCAGGGAGAGTGGGAACTATCAAGAACAGCGCATGATGGACTAGCGCAACCCGAGACTCCCCCCCCCGCCCTATTCCCCAACACTCCCTGACCCCGCTGCACGTGCCTGTGCACCCGAACGTGTGCATGCGCAGGTTGCCCTGAAGGAGTTCGAGGCGAAGAAGGGCAGCGAGATCTCCCGGGTGTGTCACCGACACTACTCGGAGTTCATCGACAGCGTGGAGGACCTCATGAAGATGAAGGCGGAGATGGTCGGCCTCAAAGACCAGGTGTGCTCTTTTGCTTCTTCTTGCGCGTGGGGGACGGCGGGCGTACGTGCGGTTGTCGTCGGCCTCCACCCCTGGCGAGAGAGAGGATGGGGCATACCCATGTTTTGCATACCTTACCTGTTGGGCCATTGACCACGCGTCCTCGAGAGGACGGAGCATCGTTCCCACAGGACCGATCACCGATGGCCAATCGTTCCTTTCTACTTTGCCAAAGGTGGCTCAAAAATGTCTTCCCTAGTCTGTCTATCCTAACGATATCCCTTACCGCCTTTTCAACCCACCTCCTATGCCCCAGTACAGCTACCGTCCTTTCCTCTCTATTCCATGCCTCAAACATCTCCCTGTACGTCCTTTCTGTTTTTCCCAGCTCAGTCATGTACACTTCCCTCTCCTTCTTGTACAACGGACATTCCGCGACTACATGAACACGGTCTTCGCATTCGAAGCCGCAATCACATGTGAACTCGTCGTCTTCCTCGTCTACCGTCCTATGTCTTCGTCGACGTTCTCGAAGGCGTATTACCCCGGTCCTGAGTTTGACCTTAAGCTTTGTTCCTGCATCCATTGGTTCATGTAGGTAATCCTTGAACCCTATTCCTTCCTTCAACATTCCGTAGACTTCTAGACCCTCCTTATCCTTGTATTTTTTCCTCAGATTCTGTTCTTCTCTCTCGGCACATGCAACAGATATCTTCTCCTTGAACCCCTGTAGACCCTCCGTTTCCAGCGTTTCATCTTCGCTGATGTCGAGCTCCTTCCATACGTCCTCTACAACCTTGACCCATTCCGTGGGTTGTCTACCCCTCTTTTTGTTTGCCCACTTCGCCTCCCATACAATTCTCGGCAACCTCTCCTCTCCCATCCCGCACATGCGATACTGCCAGGTCAGCTTCCTCGCGTCTCTTCCCGACCGTAGGGATTG